TCTCCGACTCAGTTATTTTCCTTCTGATTTTAAAAAGGTTTTGATATTCTACTAAAGACAATTAAATATAGAATTCCTAGCATCCTATCTGTCCTCCCAAAACACACAACCAAAAAAAAAAAATCAGAAAGTGTGATGGTGATAGATGTCAGCCTGGAAAACTTGCCTATATGGGGAGGAGGAGCTCCCTTATAACTTTTAGCCCAGTAGTTAGGGTATCACCTGGGATGTGGGAGACCCAAAATCCAGTCCCTCGATCTAGTGATTTGAACTAGGGACTCCAACATCCCTCGTGAGTGCCCTGACCACTGGACATTAAGTTACAAGGGAGGGCCTCCCCTCGGCTTCTTGCTAAAATGCATAGCTGCCTAATGCCAAGAGAGGTTTTGCAGCTGAGAATCCCAAGCAGAGGGAAATGCCTCCTTGCAGCCCAACTTGAGGCACTTATCCCCAAGAGGGGTGAAGTTTAATATATGCCCTTCGCTTCGCACCTCCCATTGACTAGCTTAGGTGAGGAGCTGCCTAGAGTGCTGGCTTTTGTATATCCCATTCTGATGCACCTATCTTTCCCCATTCATTGAATAGGGAGCCTAAGTGCCAAACTCAGGCTTTGTGATCTCAGTGACTTTCTAGGCACCTAAAATTTAGGCATGGCAACGCTCTGTGTCACCACGACCAATTTTCTTTTGTGAATCTGACCCTGGGATGCTACACTGAGCAGCAGACAAATAATTTGGAAGGATGATGAATGGTTAGCAATATGTAGATGGACTTGTCACATATAAGCACTTGAGGAATAGTGCTATAATAGTCATTGACCATGATTGCTTCATAAATGCCTAAAAACTGATCGTGGGGCAGCCCTCTTATGATTGTGTGGAGGCTGCATGTGCTATGGAGGCGAAAGAAGTCAGGCCTGTTTTGCTCTGTAATCCAGCATCTCTTGGACCAGTCAGCATGTCAATAAATGCATGTATTAGCTTCGAATATATCTGTTTACCTACCGTTAGCATCTCTTTTCAAGATAAAGTACTGACTAGAGGTCATCACTCGGAGGTGAGATTAAATCAGGTAAAATAAACCTAAATAAACCCCCTGATATATCAGTTCTGATTATTCCGCATCTCTGCCATTGATGATCTGTTGTAATTTAGGCATTTTGCAGCTGTTCTTGCTATTCAGGGCTGGGTGGAATTCCAGTATATACTGGTGCTAATCCACAAAATGATTTCATTATATAGAAATTTCCAGCAACAAGTTAGATACAAAAATCTATGGGAAATAGGGCCATTCTTAAGGAGTGGCATACACCTGCTTGTTTTCTGCCCTTCAGGTTGCTGCAAAAAAATGCCCTGTTCAAGAGGAATCCTGCCATAGAAGCAGACCATGTGATATTCTTATGCTTCTTGCAAAGTTTATTTGTCCGTGAATATCCCTAATGCATGTAAAAGTGTAGAGGCTGATTTTCAGAATATGCCTATAAATAAAAATGATTATTTTTTGTTCCACAGGTCAGAATTGAGCAGGTGATCGTTGCTGAACCAGGAGCAGTTTTATTATACAAAATATCTAATCTTCTCAAGTTCTATCACCATACAATTAGGTATACAGAATAACTAAACATGTTAAGTAACTCTCCTGTTTGAACATGCACCAATTCTGGTACAGTAAAAAACACTCCCTCTGTTTTGCTTTGTTTTGTTTTTGTTTTTTGGGGGGGTTGTTTGTTTGAGTTCTGACTGTGCTCAGTTGTGTACGGAACAAAGAGGAAGACACAGCCCTGACCTGAAGTGTAGTAATCAATTATTTTGATAGAAATCTGTCTGTAAATGGAAAAAAATGTCAACATATAGACATACTTTATCACTCTGTAGAATTGTAGATATTAAAGTGCACACAAAAAACTACATTAAAAGAACATTAAGGTTGCAAAATTAAACACTCCAAAATTAGGAAATGCCAGAATTAAAGTTACCTGTTGAAACCTTAGCTTCAGTTTAAACGCTTTACAAGTCTCTGAATATGTACACCGTACAATTTTTTTTTCAGGGGCTTGTATCTTAGTGGTTTTTCATGGGAACAGTAAAAGGCACATCCCTAACATAAACTCAACCTGCCTGCCAAATTTCAAGTCCCTACTCTAAAGTATGAGGCAGTACAGCTTCTCAGTAAAGCAGTTGTAAGAATTTTTTTTTAATAAGTTAAACAGCATATTTTCCCCTAATCTTGTTCTCAAATTGGCAGAACCATTTTTGCTAAAACTTTCCAAAAGTGGGTGAGAGAGACAACCAGAATTCTTTCTTATTTTAATTTTTTTTTAAGCCCAAACAGTTAAAATTTAGTAATTACAAGCAACTGAAAACAATTTTATAATGGGGAGTGTTTGGCAGCCTTAACTATAGGCATTGCTGCCTATACTGTATTATTTAAAAGTCAAAGATTATAGTACTGATCCTACTAGCCAAATGTTTTTTTTCAAAAATAGAGGGAAACTGGTCTAATTACTATAGCAAGGTCTAATTTGAGACTTTGGTGACTTTACTGGGGCTGATAGTGCTCTGAAAACCAAGCTGCTATTTTTTTTTAAGGATGTCACATTAGTCCCACTCAGATATGATAGTTTTTACCCCAGATATGGGTAATTTAGAATCACTTTTAATTTAGACGACAAACTCACATGCAAGAAGCATGTAGAAAAATGTCATGTCATAATGGGTATAACACAGTTGTAGTAAAACTAATAAACTAATTTTACACTAGCCAAGCATGTACATTTTTAAACTGTTAAAGAGTACAATTTTGTATGTGAAGAGACATATTTACCTGGAAAGTAGTGGAAATGGAATGACGTTATCAACACATCTTTCTCATTTGGATTTTGTTCTCTATAGCAGAAACAAAGTTGAGTATTCCCCTCCCCCCCCACTTATTTAAAAAGACAGTAGCATATTGGATAGGTAAATATTTTTAGCCCATCTTGAAAAAATAAAATATTAGTTTCATTATGTACTATGTTTTTTGCTGTATAACTGAAAATTTAGCATTTTCTCTTCCTTGTTGGCTTTAAACATTCAAACAAAAACCCACTAAGCGAAACCTGAATTGGATGCTTAGATAGTTTCCTTTCCAACAAAGCTGTAATTCCATTTTTTTTAATGGAATATATTACTTAATTTAAGTTATGCATATGTTATAGCTGAGATGGTATCTAATTGTTTATTATCTTGGCTGGAGGTGCTTGTTCTCACTAATCATCCTATCTTACAAATTATTATTAGAATTAGTTAATAGAGGAAGCTGTTTCCTGTGACAGTTCACTATGCATTTCCAACTTTTAGACTTGGTGTCATATTCTTGAACATTGACTAAAATATCTGGATCTGTTTTATATTTATTTCTTGGATTTAACAAAGTATTTTCTTTTTGGTTTCAGTGGTATTTTGGGAAACAGTGCAGCCACGTTGTTAACCACAGTTGAAGAAATGCATTTGTTAAGCAAAAAGATATTCTTCAATAGTCTGAGCCTACATGCAAGTAAACTAATGGAAAAGGTTTGTTTCAGAAATATAAGCTTTTTATATTTTAAAACAAATTCTCCAGTTTTTCCTTAATATAAGGAGACTAATGGAGTAAAAATTGTTGTTTACATTTTGATTCATTATCTTAAAATTGACATTTCATGTTTCCATGTGCTCTATAACACATACAGTAAATTATTCACGTTATTGTCCCTGCCAGTTGCCCAACTATAGATGTGTGCACATTCCTGATCAAAGACTTTTCGTTAGCAGCTTCTGCAAGTCCACACCTGCGCACTATACACCCTCATGCTCCAGACTGAGGGAATATAGGTAGGGACAGACGCACCACCACTCCAGTTCCTTCTCAGCCGCCTGTGTAGCTTGAGACAGAGTGTTGCGGTGTCTGCTAGCTAGAATTATAGAATATTAGGGTTGGAAGAGACCTCAGAAGGTTATCTAGTCCAATCCCCTGCTCAAAGCAGGACCAACAAGCTAGCTCCTTAGCTTGCCTATTTTCTTCTTTACTTTTTTAGTATTTTGTCCTTTTTTATTTAGTTTGTAGTTTTCTTCTCTATTTTATAGCATAGGTTTGTACTTTCATGAGGGTTCTCCCCACATTCGTAGTCATGGTCTTCTCCCCCACAGCCTCTCTTTTGTTTGCAGCCTAACTTACAGGGGTATGCCCAAAACTATGAGCTTCAAACCATGCCAGATCTGTCTCTGGTCCTTTCCCCTCAGCAAGGATCATTCCAGCTGCCTCTGAGTCCAACATCCCATTGAATGCAAGGTCTGCTTCGGCTTCAAAAGTAGATCCAAAAAGATGAGGGAGGACAGATTGAAGCTACTCCTTATGAATTGCTCCTTGGGACCTGAGGAATATACAGACCATATCACCTCTGGTACTGCTCGACACATCACATCCTGAGGAGCAGTGCCCAGGATCACCAGTACTGACCATATTTCTCTTCCATGAGGTTCTCCAGGTGTTGGAAAGACCTGAATCCCCTCTACTACAAGTATCTAAGAGGCATCTCCTGCCAGTATCAACATATATGCATGCACTGACATATCCTCCAGTACCTCTGCACCTTCACGCACAAAGTCAGCCACCGGTACTGATGCAGATGGTAGTACTCACTTGGCCTCAACACCCCTAGCTCTTCCCTTGTATACAGGGATGACACTTTCTCTGACTTGGAAATTTCTGTCGAGGTGGTGGAATTCTTCCCATTCCAGCCTCCGTTCGTGGCATACCCAGATGATGAGACTCTAAGGACTAGTCATTGTCCAATCCACCCTCTGGCAGGAATACTTGGGATTCTTCCCCTTTGCTTATGCTCCTCCACAGTGTGTTTTTTGGAACCTGGGGCTCCCTACAGTGACCAGTTCTATAGGATGTTCCCACATAAGAACCATCAAGATGAGTAGGCACCAGTAGATGGGACTCTCTTCCCTAGGGAGACCCTTTGGAAGAACAGGAGCTAAGGGCAGAGGAGGGGATACACCCTTCAAACAAATCCTCTTCCTCCCCAGATGAGGTTGTTATGCCGCCTCCTGCATCCTATGCTAATGATTTCAACATCTTTCAGGAACTGATCAAGAGACTGGCTGAGACTTTGCAGATCCCTCTAGAGGAGATACAGGAATCTCAACAATCTTTGGTAGATATCTTACATACCTCTCCTCAAGGCAAGATAGCCCTGCTGCTAATGATGCCTTCTTGTTACCCGCCCATACTATTTTGCAAACACCAACTACCCTCCTACCTACATACAAGAGGGCTGACAAGCAGTACTGTGTGGTAGCCAAGGGCTCGGAGTACCTTTTTTCTCACCGTACCCCAACTCTGGTAGTCAACGTGGTTAACAAAAGAAAAAGATGGTGCTGATCCAGATCAGTTTTTCACGATAAGGGGCTCAAATGCCTGGACCTTCTTGGCCATAAATTAATCTCTTGCTACACTGCAGTTCCACCATGCTTTGTTGGCAAAATGTGACTACATAAAATATAGTAATGTTTTTCATTTTTTTGACCATCTACCACAGGACCATCTACCACAAGCCCTCATTTCCAAGTGCCAGATGACTTCCAAGGCTTCTCTGTAGCCCTCTCTTGATGCAGCTGATACCACATCTTGCTCTACGGCAATAGGCATAATTATGCATCAGATTCCAAGGCTGCAGTCTTCTGGTCTCCCCAGGGAAGTACATCTCATAGTGAAGAATTTTTCCTTTGAAAGACCTATGCTCTTTGTTGACAACATGGACAAGTCTCTCCACTCTCTCAAGGACTCTAGGGCAACATTTCGATCCCTGGGCATCTATGCTACTACAACAAAAAGAAAATGTAGATCACAGACAGCCCAGTGATCTCTCCCAGTACAGCATTTCATCTCCCAGGGGTGTCCCAGGGTCCACAAGCAGGGGCCATCTTCCTCTGTTGCCTACCAAGTGACCATTTTGACTTATCGGTCATGAATCACTCCATTGCCCTACCTTCCACCTACCCTATGGGGACTGCCTCTCCCATTTCCTACTGTTCTGGGAGGTCATTACTTTGGACAGGTGTATCACAGTAGTTTCCACAGGCTATTCTATCCAATTCAGTTCCATACCCCTCCTGCTCCCCCAGTCCCTTTTCAGGGACTCATTTCTCAAGAGTCTTTAAAGACGGGGGGTACAATCCCACATGTTCCTCCCAACTTCAGCAGAAAATGTTTCTATTCCAGCTACTTCCTAGGCCCCAAGAAAAAGGAGAATGGAGACAGATCTTGGAACTTAGGACTTAGAACACATTTTACCCATGCACAGTGATTCAGGATGGTAAGCCCTGCAGCAATAATTTCAACTTTAGGTTTGGGGGACTGATTCATCACCCTCGACCTCTAGGATTCATACCGTAGTTTGATTTATAGGTTATGTATTAATTATATTTATTACAGTAGAACCTCAGTGTTACGGACACCTTGGAAATGGAGGTTGTTCGTAACTGTGAAATGTTCACAACTCTGAACAAGATGTTATGAGATGCTCCTCAGGGCGGACCGCTCAAAGCGGGGGCTCACAGCTGTACCTGCAAACTTCAGCGTCTTCTCCTCCTACCTGTAAGTGGCTGCCCAGTGGGTGGACGTGTGCCTAGGCAGCTGGTTCTAGCCCCTTTTTCTGCAAGAGTGATGTGTGAAAAGCAACAAAGAGTCCTGTGGCACCTTATAGACTAACAGACGTATTGGAGCATAAGTTTTCGTGGGTGAATACCCACTGAGTGATGAGTGAGGCACCCTGGGGCACCACAGTGTCAGTGGGCACGTGGTGCAAGCTGTGTCCCTTTAAAACTGAGCTGCTCCTCCAGAGCGCAGCATGCAGGTAGGAGCTTGGGCTCCGGCTCCAGCAGCAAACATTCCATGCCAGGTTCCAGCAGGAGCTTGGGAAGTTTCTTTTCTGGGGGCGGGGAGGAGGGAACCTGTGCCCATGGCTTAGGGCATGGCACAGACCCCAGCACTGCTCCTGCTCTGCCTGCTCAGGGTCTCACAGCTATGCCTGTCAACTCATTGCTATGGAACTCTTGTGGTCAGATGTTTGCGGATGTTCTATCCAAAAGCTAGTGTTAGCTCATGTTCCTGTGGCTGGCTGATGTCATTATGGACAAATTCCCCCCTCCCTTCCGCCCCCGCGCCTCCACTGTGTCGTGACACCTAAAGTGGGCCACAGCTGAGAATGCCCAGACTCAGGACAGACTGCCAGACAATAGGGCAGACACCCCAAACTGGTGGTATATTCTATCATTAGATTTCACCAAGCCAGTAATAAAAGGGTACTTGTGGATCACTGTATTAGTTTACCACAGAGTACAGACAGCCCCTACTTACCACCCAGGCAAACTGGATCTTATGATGTTAGGTTATTAAAACCCAAACCATCACATATTAGGTTTTTCAAGCCCCAAAGAGTTGGTCACTCACCCGTGTTCACGGGATACTTCAGGATCTCATTAAAAACAATGCCGTTAGCTAATCCTTAGTAATTAGTAATTTAACTAAATCTTTATTTATTAAGAAAAAGAAATGAGTTATTAGAAAGATTAAAAGCAGATAAAATACATTACAGTTGAATCAGAATATACGAGTCCAATTGATAGCAGAGATACTATGTCTGCTAATTCTCCATAAGTCTTTCAGGGCTTTCCCAAAACTAGCTTTTTGGGGATTTCAGTCTAGTGGCTCAAAACTCCCCCTGTTTAGACTTCAGCAGATTAGAGATGGCAGGATCAGGCCCAAGGCTTCTCTTTTATAGTTAAAACAGGCTAGCAATCTGACCGTCATTATTACCACGTGGGAATTTCCTTTGATGAAGAATAGGTAATTCAGACAGTTTGTGAATCTCCATTGTTAAACCAGCCACTCCTGCTTTGAAGTTTACCTTCTACTTCCCATGCATACACAAATAATCCAGTTACATTGATTTAGATAAGGTAATTGCTGGCCATTCATAATAACAGGGATAGATAATTGAAGACAATACAGGTAGTATCATTCGTTTCATGCAGTATGTACACATCTTTGATCTGAAGGTTGATTGAGTACAGAATACAGACAGATGAAAACAATACCATCCACATTTCCTTGATCTCTTATCAAAAACAAGTGAATGGGCTGGTGTCCTCTAGCCCATTTAACATCCCTTTAATACTCTCACACAATAGAATTGGCCTGACTACATTGCACGGCCCCTTGACATGCTTTTAAATGTTACACACAGGTGAACTGGCCTGTTAATTTTAACCTGAGCTGGTTTGTTGGCGTCACGCATTCTGTTTCCAGTGCCGCAAAACTTAGGGGTGACCATTTGGTCATTTGTCTGTGCCAGAGTTCATAGGCCTCAAGCCTTATGCTAACTGCTGAAGCCAATGTCTTACAGGATACAGGCCTGTAAGTTCCTTACATTACTGCTGAATATAATAAAAGACAGAATATAATGAAAGCAAGACAGTGAATATAATAAAGGCAAACTAGCCCTATGGGCTACATTACTTCC